CTTCCTTCTCTTTCTTTCTTTCTTTCCTCCCTCCTTCCCTCCCTCTTTCATTCTTCCTTCCTTCCTCTTTTTCTTCCTTCTCCTTCCTTCCTCTTTCAATCTTCTTCCTTCCTTCCTTCTCTTTCTTTCTTTCTTTCCTCCCTCCTTCCCTCCCTCTTTCATTCTTCCTTCCTTCCTCTTTTTCTTCCTTCTCCTTCCTTCCTCTTTCAATCTTCTTCCTTCCTTCCTTCTCTTTCTTTCTTTCTTTCTTTCTTCCTTCCCTCCCTCCTTCCTTCCTTCCTTCCTTTTTTCCTTCCTTCCTTCCTTCCTCTTTCAATCTTCTTCCTTCCTTCTCTTTCTTTCTTTCTTTCTTTCTTCCTTCCCTCCCTCCTTCCTTCCTTCCTTCCTTTTTTCCTTCCTTCCTTCCTTCCTCTTTCAATCTTCTTCCTTCCTTCTTTCTCTTTCTTTCTTTCTTTCTTTTTCTTTCTTCCTTCCTTTCTCTTTTCCTTCCTTCCTTCCTTCCTTCCTCTTTCAATCTTCTTCCTTCTCTTTCTTTCTTTCTTTTTTTCTTCCTTCCTTCCCTCCCTCCCTCCTTCCTTCCTCTTTTCCTTCCTTCCTTCCTTCCTCTTTCAATCTTCTTCCTTCCTTCTCTTTCTTTCTTTCTTTCCTTCTTTCTTCCTTCCTTCCCTCCCTCCCTCCTCCCTTCCTTCCTTCCTTTTTTCCTTCCTTCCTTCCTTCCTCTTTCAATCTTCTTCCTTCCTTCTTTCTCTTTCTTTCTTTCTTTTTCTTTCTTCCTTCCTTCCCTCCCTCCCTCCTTCCTTCCTTCCTTCCTTTTTTCCTTCCTTCTTTCCTTCCTTCTTTCCTTCCTTCCTTCCTCCCTCCCTCCCTCCCTCCCTCCCTTCCTTCCTTCCTTCCTTCTGGCTTGGATTTTCTCTTCTCCGTCTCAGACACTTTGGCCAAGATTGGTTCACTCAAGCGATGCCCCATCTGAGATATTTTCCAAATTTTCAGTCGTGGGACTGGAATCCTTGAAACGCTCCTCCGCTGCCCTTATTTTATTTCTTCCATTTATTTTTTTTGCCCTCGGTTTGCAAAATCTTCCCCTTGTTTGCGGCTGGTGCTGTGCGAGGCTCGAACAATACGACATGAGGATAAAGTGTGTGCTTGCACAGATTGTGTTCCCTTCGAGGAATATAATAGAAGTTGCCATCAATTGTTATGATTGTTCCGCTCCGAGCCGCCTTCTCTCTAACAATGCAATTTTGCACAGTACAAGAGAGATAAAAATCTTCCCTTTTTTTTGCTAGATGTAGCTCAACGGAGCTCTTGATCTGTGCCCAACAAGAGGATTTTCCCTGCCTGGGGAAAAAACGGATTTGTGACCTCAGGATCCCACTTTCCGTGGCCAAAGGGTGCCCTGGCTTGTCTTCTACGGGTGGGAGGGGAAAGCGGGAAGTCCCTCTCCTTAAATACCTGTTTGGGAAGGGGGACAGGAAGGGAAGGGGGCTCCTCCTTAAGGGGGAATTTAAATTGTACATTTTGTGTATTGTTTTGATCTTTTAATTGTTTTACTTTTCCCCCCAGGAAGTAGATGGGCAGGGATGGATGGATAGATGATAGANAATATGCTGACTCTCTGTAAACCGCTTAGAGAGGGCTGAAAGCCCTATGAAGCGGTATATAAGTCTACTGCTATTGCTAAGTCTACTGCTATTGAATGGTCCTTAAGATATGGGAGCCAGAGTTGATGTTTCATTCCCCTTGTTTGCTGGGACCTCAAAACTCGGGTGTCAAATCCTGCCTGCATGGGGGAAAAAAATATCTACGGGGAGCCCCTCGACTTACAACAGTTAGTTTAGTGGCCATCCAAAGTTACATCAGCGCTGAAAAGGGGGACTTACGACCATTTTTGTCAAAGTTACAACCTTTGTAGAACCCCCGTGTGACCAGGACCACCGGGAGTTCCGCTGGGGGAGCTAATTTGATTAACTCGGTTTGTGTTGGCAGACCTTATCCTTTGATATGTGGATTAGGCCAGGGTAAGTTGTATGGCGGCCAGAGGGAGGTTGAGTAAAAGATTTTCCCCCGTTTGCTGTTTTTACTTGATTAATTCACAGCTTGACTGCCAATTATTTAGTGCAGACCGATTCTCAGTCCATCGCAGGGTTCCGTTAATGCAGTGTTTCTCAACCTTGGCCACTTGAAGATGTCCGGACTTCAACTCCCAGAATTCCCCAGCCAGCGAATGCATTCAGACACAGACACACAGACACCAGCTCCAGATAGTCCTCAACTTACAACAGCTTGTTTAGGGGCCATTTGAAGTTACGGCCATGCTGAAAAAAAGCGACTTATGACTGCTCCTCACACTTATGACCATTGCAGCATCCCCGTGGTCATGTGATCAGAACACAGACGCTTGCCCACTAACTCCAATTGATGATGGTCGCAGCGTCACGGGGTCAGGGGATTAAACTACAGACGCTTGGCAACCGACTCACATTTAAGACGGTCCCGCGATCCCCTTTTGCGACCTTCTGACAAGCCAACGGATTCGCTTAACGACCATGTGACCAATTGCAGTGGTTCCCTGAACAGCGGTGGCAAGGAAGGTCGTAAACGGAGCAAAACTCCCTTAACAAATGTAATAATAAATTTAAATTTTAATAAACAGTCTCACTTAAGCAGCGTAAATGCGGTCGTAAGCTGAGGACTGCTTGTACTTGCAACCTGGGGGCCAGCCTGCATCATCTCCAAGCATCCCCAAACCACGAATAAACCGGGGTTCTGATAGACGGGACACCCCCCCCAACCCCCACATGCGCCTGGTACAAAACCTGCCCCCACCTGGCATCGTTCAATGATGGGCCTGGGCCATTAATGCTAAGTGCCTTTTGAGCAAACAGCCTCCCGAAAGTGGCCATAAATTCTTATTTATTTGTGCTATAAAAGGCCCCGGAGTTCTTGGAAGTAAGCAAATATTTGCCCTGGGCGATGTGGCACTGATGCGCCCATGTGGCAGGTGTCCCCGCAGAGGCCGGAAGGCGCTTCTGCCAAGGAGGAAGGGGGGGGGGTGCCCCACTGCCTGGTGTTTCTTTCCTGCCTCTGGCACACGGAGGGCTGGGGAATTCTGGGAGGGGGCTGAGAAAAGCAAGGATTTACGCCTGGGCAGGGGGGGGGGAAATCAAAGGTACAAGCGCAAATTAGATGAGATGAGTAGGATAGGATAGGAATTAAATGAATAGAATGGAATGGGATGGAATAGAACAGAATAGAATTTGGAATGGAATAGAATTAAGGATGGAATGGAATAGAANTAAATGATAGATAGACAATAGAGAGAAAAAGAGAGACATAACAGATAAGAGAGAGAGAGCAATAGAGAGAGAGAGATAAACAGACAGGCAGATGGAGAGATATAGACAGAGGAGAGAAAGAGGGAGAAATGTTTTTAAGTGAATCTTGTGTTCTTTAAGTGAATCCAATCCCCCCCCCTTGACTTTGTTGGGCAGCTGGGAAGTTCTGGGAATGCCCCAATTCTCATTCCATAACTCTGGGGATCCTGCAGCGGTCATAAGTGAGAGGACCAGCCGTAGGTCATTTTTTTCCAATGCAGCTGTAACTTTCATCCGTTAATGAACGGTTGTAAGTCAAGGACCACCTCCTTATATGTCTGTCCAGAACAGCTGCCTTATTGGATTTAGCCACATTGAAACTGATGGACCCTAGAGTTGGGCTGCAAAATTCCACACGGCCACTAGGGGGTGGAAGGGAGTGAGTTTGTGCGTGGCTTTGCCGCCCTCTGGTGGCTGAGCTGAGTTCTGCAGCCTGGACAACTCCTCTAACCAAATCCAATTTTGTTAAATGTTTCCCAGGTCAGCTTCTGGGTAAGCGAATACCCAGTTACTCCCTGGAGCAACTACCAGTCTTAATTTATTCAGTATTTTTCCCCCTCTTTGCATTGCAGGAAAGAGTGTTTGTATACCTCCTGGATGAGGACGCTCGTCTGACGTGCAGTGATCCGCCGCATGACTTTCCACAGGAGGGACGGCTCAGGTGAGGCTCGGATCGATGCACACCTACACCTGTAAATGTGTGAATGCCTATTGTGTAGAAGGATGGACGGGTTCTTTAGAGAAAAGGAGAGAGTCCAAAGATATGCATCATTGTATATTATCTAAAGCTTGGCAGGAACTCTGGAGGTCATCTAACCAGTCTTTCTGAGTCCGAGTGACTTTAAAATGGGTGGACTTCAACTCCCAGAATTCCTAAGCCAGCCATGAATGATAGAGTTGGAAGAGACCAGAGGGGTCATCCGAGACCAGTGTTTCTCAACCTGGGTGACTTTAAAAAAATGTGGACTTCAACTCAGTAACGGTATTCTATTCTCTTCACTACCGTTCAATAGCAGGAGCACCTCTGGGCATGTGCAGAAGGTCCGTGGTGACTCTGCTTTTTTGGAATGAAATAACCTGGCATTGCAAAAATAAAAATGAAAAACTCAGAAACCCCAGGTGGGCATGGAGTCCTGGGGGGGGGGGAACGTCACAGATGTTCAACACAGTTTGTACAGCTGGACTGGAAAATCTGCCCGGATGGGAATTCTTGCGCTTCCTGGCACCGTGGGACCCATCTCTGGGGATGGGGGGGGGGGGCATGGGATTGCCTACCGAGATGAGGTGGACCGGTTGATTTCGTGGTGTGGAGATGTTCCGACCTAGGCTTCCCAAGAGCACGAAGCCGATTCCTCGTCCCGATAAAACCCCTTTTTGTTTAGGTTCAAGGGAATTCCTCTCCAGCAAAAGTCCCGGCCAACCGTCTTTCAAGAGATTTAACAACCACAGGCTGTCAGCACCTCTCCATTAGATAATTAGGAAAGAAAGACCACGAGACTCCATGTGTGGAAATCAAGTGTACTTTTACTCATCATAAATGATTAAAGGCATAGCGAAGTGAAATCTGAATATTTAGGCGCGAAAGCGATTGATATAGCAGTTAGCAATAGCAGTTAGACTTATATACCGCTTCATAGCGCTTTCAGCCCTCTCTAAGC